CGGGGCGGGCTGCCCTCCTCTTCCTCCTTCTCCACAGCCGGCCTGTCGTCAGCGGGATTAAAAAAAAAAAATCTCCCCTAAAACACTATTCTAAAACTCAACGAGCTTTTTTATCTGTTTAAAACTGCGAGGGCTCTTGCAGTGAGTGCATCCACACTGCTAATTATGTTATGCTCCCTGATGTTTACAAGAGTTGCTGGAGAAAAACAGAGGTACCTTTACAAGCAGGATACGATCCATTGCATCACTTAATAACAAGCTGTATGTATCTTTACTCAGCTGTTACTCGGGCTCCCTTTACAACAAAGAGGCAAAGTGACAAAGACTAGCTCTGCGAATATCCCCCATAGACTTCTTGTAATGAGCAACTTCCATGGTGAAGCAGTTAGACTACTCAGCAGAGAGAAAAAAACCACGATTTTCAAGTCTCTCTTTGCACTTGCATTCACAGCCCCGATTACCAAGAAAGTGGACTGGATATTCTGGGATGTAATTCAGCATCTTTCCTGCCTGAAGCTAGATTGCTTTGCATGGGATTATTTAATCATTGTATTAGAATCCAAATTGCCAACAAGGTGGATTAGTTTTGCAATTATCAGGTTAGAATTGAATTAGAGAGATGGGTTACCTTCTGCTATAATGCTTGTAATTGAGCTCTGGGGAGGGGCGGGGGAAGTCAGACATGTTTGTAGAAATCCACCACAGTTCTCAGGCTGGTTTATGTATGTTTAGCATGCTGGCTTTTACACAGGCCATTTCCAGGCCTTCCCATCCTAACATTGGTTGCAGGGCTGACCTTGGAATGGAGACCTCAGGTTCTTGTGTAAATTTAATAACTAGCTTCTATGTTGTGTGACCATCAATACAATACCCGACTACTACATGCGTATGTTAATTGCCATCCTGCAATTTAATTAATTAGCTTCCTGTACGTAGAAAATATGCTTGATGCTATTTAACATCTACCCTTAAGTGCTTTGAACAGGAAAAGACTGATAAAGTTAGTCACTGGTAGGTGAAAAGGCAGTACGATGACAGACGAAATCTGTACGATAATGCACACTGGAGGGAATAATCTCACTCATTAATATTCCAAGAGTGGGTGCTAGTTTTCCAGGGCCCTGCTTAGTTGTGTGCAAACCTGGGAAAAAAGTTTCTGCTGCTTGCACAGCTGTTAGCAAGATGATAGTTTTGCTGTGACAATAGGAAGTTATAGAAGTATTTTAACTATTATGCTGGAAAAAGTATACATAACAAATGAAAGAGAACAGACATAATAGTAGAGAGTATTTACACATGTGGTAACAAACCTGTACTTAGTTGCTGTCACAAGATTCTTTAAACAGTTTGAGTTACTAGGCTCTTCTTGCCCCTCCTAGCCACTTAAGAACTGAGAGCTTTGGGCCCATAAAATAGAATAGCTCCAGCACCAGATGTCAAACTTAACTAACGTCTGCCTTGGTAGAATCCAAGAGAAAAATACGATGACAAAGTGAGATCTTAGCCAAGCAGAGGGTTGTGGTGGAATTTTTTTTTTCCCCTCTCTGATTAAGATCTCACTTCTTCAAACCTTTTAAATCCCCTCTAAGTACTGAGGGAACAACTTGGTGAAAGTAACTGCCACCAAAGCAGAATTACAATAATAGTGTATTTTGAGAAATACTTTCAGCAAGGCCTAAACACCAATTTTTCCATCATACTTTATCTACTTCAGCAAAATCTTTCATAAGCCTTTGTTCTTATTCATGCCATCTCTATTTCAGAATTTATAATGTGCATTTATTTGAGTAGCGTGAAATAAGCAAAGCAACACAAAGCACTGGAACAGATGACGTGTGTGAATTTTTATTTCTTGTGCCTTTCAGCTTCATGCTCACTTATTGTGGCAACTTGTTTCATGAAGCATTAAATAGCAGAGTCTATAAATTCACCTGGACATAATATAACTCAAGTTTATGGCAAATGCAAACTTTATTTCCAGCATTGCTGCTATAAAGTTCAATAATTTCATGGATGTTACCTTATATTTAATATTTATTTGCATGTATTTCCTTGTTTTAAAAAACACCCACATAATCTAACTGTACAAGATGTTGGATTATCAACTTCCCATAAATTAAATTACACTTATGTTTGTTTTTATCCTCGTAAATAAAGCTTCAACTCACAAAATTCTGCCACTTTTAAGTATCACCTGACTACTTTTTTACTCTGTAATTAGAACACTTTCTAAGAATGGAAAGACTCAACAGTTCATGGTTCTCCCAAAGAAACAAAGCTTTATATTTGCAATTCTAGGTCTATTACAAAGAGGCCTGTGAATGTGCAGACTATGTTAATCAAAACCAAAAGGCAGCATGTTATTTGTAGAGTCAGAAAGAATCAGTAAGAAGAGTGAGAATGCTTGAGGGTTTTTTACCAGAGAATGGTGGAATATGTGCAAATCCAAAAATTCTGTGCTTGGCTTTAAGTAGCAGCTATTTGGAATTTATACAACAGATCAATATATGAGCTAAGAGAGCACTGTGGCGAGCTGAAAGATGCTCACCAGTGTTAAACATAATACCTGTGCTTTAATCTATTATTTTCTTTCCAGTCCAATTAAATTCAAACCAAGACTCTCTTTTGTTTCCTTAACCAATGATGAAACTTGCAGTAAGTCAAGCCTGAAAGCTGTAACTGCTAACTTGGAAAAGGCCTTGGATACAGGATTTGAAAATTTTGACTTGTGTGACTTTTTTTACCAGTTTGTGACTTTCCAACTCAGTCCTTATAGACACCAGTTCTATGAGCTGCTCTTCACTATGATATAGCATTAAAGATTTGTTTTAATGCAATGATTTATATGCTAAAAATACTGGTATCTCTTGATAGTACTGTAGGATAATGTTGAGAAGCATCATCAGCCATGCTGTGCTAAAAGGACTAGGTAAATCCACTTCCATCTGCGTGCCTCTTACGTTTCCATGTCTGCTATACCCTCACCTGAATTTTCTTCCAAATGATCGTTAAAGACAGATATATATTACCTACCAGGTAATAAGACATTTTGCTTACATTACAAATGATGAAGGCTGTAATATGAAGCAAACGGGACACGTGCATTAAAAGCAAATGTTTGTGTTGGATGAAATTCACTAGCTGCCACCCTGACAGCCACAGCTGTGACACGGCCGTGCCCCTCGGTGCCGCTGCAACACGGGTGACACCAGCTGCCCGTGGGTTTGCTTGCAGCCGCCCGGCCCCCCAGGAGACGAGACCAGAGCGCACGCTTTGCTACGGCTTTATTCGGCACCGGCCCGCGCCGGAGGAAACCAGGTGTAAGGCGCAAGCGGCGTTTTGCATAGAAATAACCTCCTTTTCCTCCTCCCCCAGCCCTTCCTCGCGTCCGTGGTCCGGAGGGGCGGAGGTAGCGGGGG